ACCCACCCCTCTCCTAGAAGAATAAAATATCCTGGAAAGTATTAAAAAGGCAGAATATTATATTTCCCTGGATGAGAAATAGAGAAACATGTTTTTAGGCAGGAAACAAACTCACTCTTAATAGCCCCCCTCCACCTTTGTCAATGGGCCATTAAGGCCTGAGCCAGTCTATTCTACATAATGAAGATCTTCCCCCTTTAGGCAGAGCCATTTCATTGCACCACCCACCAGGTTTCAATCAAACTTAGCACATAGACAACCTATCAAGCTAGCTATGACCTCTGACAGCAACCAATCAGGATACTCTTCCTGTGCCCCAGGAAGTTCGAAGCTCAGAGAGGGCATAAAACCCAGCGGATTTCAGCATCTCTGCCCTTTTTTCTTCAAGATCTTCAAGACATGTGATCCCCTTTTGTGACCTTCCAGCAAACAAAGTGAATGGGGGAGCCAGATTCACTTAACAACCGGGTTACTGACTTAAAAACTGTGGCAAGAAAGGTTGTAAAATGGGGCAAAGCTCAATACTGTAACCATTTCACTTAGCAACAGAAATTTTGGGCTCAATTGTGGTCGTACATCGAGGACTACCTGTATAACATAAGTCACATAGAATTGCATGCAAGAGGGCAATGAATAAAAGCAATTTTCGGTATCTTCCGTTCCCGAGACTTTGTTCTGCCTGACTCAACATCTTTCTGAATTATTTAAATTTTTAGTAGTTGTCCAGATTTGTAACAACTTAGATCTCCTAATACTGTTCCAAAACTACATTTCCCTGATGTCAGAATGATTTATTTCTGCTTGTTTGCAGTTATTGTTTTTTAACCTGTAGGTCAATGCCACTCAAAATGAGACAGCGAAACTTTTTTTTACTGTGTAAGATTATCATAAGGAAATATTCGTTTCTCACTTGGTGTGTATATCTTTAAGGAAGCCACTAAAACAGTGTGGTTTTTTTTCTTTCTTTCCTAAAACGGGTTTTAAAATTAATAAATGTTTTCTGTCAGGAAATTGTCCCAAATGAAGTCAGAGTCACTGACACGAACTTGTAGTTTGATATAAATGCATATATTCAACCTCTATATTTACAGTAACTAAGATAGTTAGACATATCACTACATCATGAGGTAAATCACAGAAGAGGCATATGGAGCATGCAGAAGAAAAAGGCGGAAAAAAGGGAAACTCCCCCTTGACACCCAACAACCAATTATAATGTAGGAGCCCGAACTCTCCAACCAATCAACTACCACAGTGCATTCTGGCCTATTATCCACTTTATTCTTCCAGCTATTAAATTAAATATCTTAACATTCTCATTTTCCTTCTGAAAGGGAGGCTTAATCCAGTGATACATTTTGAGCAGAAGAGGGGAGTCTCCCAAATATCCCTTCCTCCTTTCTGGGAATCCTGAACTTGATGCTTCTCTTCACAGTCCCCTGCCTGGACTGTGCATGAAAAGGGGCAGCAGGGGAACATGGGGTCTGAGTCACTCTCTCTCCCCTTTTCCCCTCATAAGACTTTGCATGTGGCTTTACCATCCCCAGGATGCAATTTTTTGCTTCCCTTCCCACGAGAAGGGCACTCCACTCACTGACCAGCGTCACATTTGAATCTCGGTCACTGTAAGACTTTGCTGCAGCCTCTTTAGCTTCTGCGCTGCTCAAAGGGTTAGCAAGCCAGTGCACAGTTCTAAAGAAATACTTAGGCAGAAAAAAAATCAAAGCTACAAGTACAGATTAGGAGAAACCTGGCTCGAAAGAAGATAAACCTCCAGGTGACTTTAACGACCCACTAAAAGAATGCAAATGACCATCTGTCTGCAAGGAGTATAAATCCTTCCATTCCCCATCATCAGAGCTGAAGAAGCTTCTTGGATGATAAGCAAAATGTCTTTGAAGAAATGTCTTGGGAAAAAAGCACCTTTGGGATAATCATGACCCGGATGACTGAGAATCTCCATAGACGTTCAAGTGGCTTGAAAACCGTAACTGTGAGAGGATCTTGGAGTCCTAGTGGATGATCACTTAAATATGAGACTGCAGTGTGTGACAGCAGCCAAAACAGCTAATAAACTCCTTGGTTGTAGCAAGTGAGGCAGAGAATCAAAATCATGTGAAATATTAGTACCACTTAGACTGCACCTGGAATATAGTATCTTTGGTCATCACAAAAAAGATGTTGAGATTTTGGAAAAAAAGTGCAGAGAAGAGCAACTAAGATGATGAAAGATTTGGAGAGTAAAACATATGAAGAACGGTTGCAGGAATTGGGTATGGTCACTCTGGAGAAAAGAAAGACTAGGGGTAACATGATAGCAATTTTCCAGTATTTGAGGGGCTGCCACAAAGAAGTGGGGATCAACTTATTTTCCAAAGCACCAGAAGGCAAGAAACAATAGATGGAAACTAATCAAGGAGAGGACCTTGAGAGGACCTCCAAGGTCCCTTCCATCTCTGATACTCTATCATTCTATAATTCTTTCTTGTTTTGACTCAGGTATTTTCATACTACTGAGCAACATGGTATGGGAAATAAAAGCACCAAGATGCTCTCAATCAGCTTAGCCTCCATTGAGCAATACGGTCAAACTTCTGGGAGGGGAGAGGAGAGGAGAGGAGAGAGGAGAGGAGAGCAGGGAATGGGAATAGGAAAGAACAGAACAGAACAAATCAGAACAGGAATTTGCGTCCAGTGTAAAAGCTCTCAGTGTACATATAAACAGTAACTAATAAGTCATAGATCATAACAAATAACATTTTATAAATCATAAAACACCAATAGGATAAGATTACGAATTTGGAAGTGGTCCAATAGATCATAGTAGTATAATAGTATATACTACCCTATAAGACTCCAGAATAGATCACCGAAGAAATAATGATTGACTCACTTCAGGCAGTAATTATTTTTATTGATGATTACATTTATACCATGCCTTTCTATTTCTATAACCACTCAAGACAGCTTACAAAAAACATAAAGACAAGATGATGCAGAACACTGCTAATACTTTTATGGGTTTTCCTTGATACTTTTATGGGACAGAAGGTAACAGCTCTGAGTAAAGTTTTTCCCACATTCCACACATTTATGAGGTTTCCCCCCGTGCTGGATATTTCTATGGTAAGAAAGGTGACTGCTCCGGCTGAAGCTCTTTCCACACTCCAGACATTTGTAAGGTTTTTCCCCCGTGTGGATCCTTTTATGGTAGGTGAGGTAACAGCTTTGAGTAAAGCTCTTTCCGCACTCAAGACATTTAAACGGCTTCTCTCCTGGGTGGATGTTTTTATGGGAAGATAGGTGACTGCTTCTAATGAAACTCTTCCCGCACTCCAAGCATTTGTAGGGTTTCTCCCCCGTGTGGATCCTTTTGTGGATCGTGAGATCTGTGCTGCCCCTGAAAGTCTTCCCGCATTCTGTGCACTTTAAAGACTTCTCCCCCGTGTGGATCCTTCGATGGGCCTGAAAGGCACTGCGTTCTCTGAAGCACCTTCCACAGTCCGTGCAACTGTATGGTTTCTCCCCTGTGTGGATCCTCATGTGGTTAGGCAGGTGACTGCTCCACCTGAAAGTTTTTCCACACTCCACGCACATGTATGGCTTCTCCCCGGTGTGGATTCTCATGTGGCAAGTGAGGTGGCCCCTTTGAATGAAGCTCTTTCCACACTCCATGCATTTGAAGGGTTTCTCGCCCGTGTGGATCCTTTTATGCAGGTTCAGGTTGCTGCTCATTGTAAAACTCTTTCCGCACTCCGTACATTTGAAGGGTTTCTCACCCGTGTGGACCCTTTTGTGAGAGGTAAGGTCGGTATTGCGTCGAAAGCTTTTTCCACACTCAGTGCATTGGTACGGCTTTTCCCCCGTGTGGATCCTTTTATGGGAAGTGAGGGAACTGGAATGGCTAAAAGTTTTTCCACACTCCGTGCATTGATATGGTTTGTTTTTGGTGGAGATGCTCTGATATAACGTCAGAGGGGAGTTCTCGTAGTAATTCTTTACACGGTCTCTACGTTCACAAGCTTTTGCTTTTGGATGGATCCGGCAATCTTTGTTTCTATCAGGTTTATCTTTGAATTGTTCTCCATACCCTGAATTCTCTCCCTTTTTCTTTCCCTTCTGATTTTTTGGAATCTGGAAGTCCTGTATTTCCATATTTAAAGTACTTGAGAATGTCTCACCCTGATTGCTTGGCTGGTTGTCATCTTGTTCTGGTCTCCACATATTTTGAAACATCTCTTCTTGTCCTTCATTCTTAACTGTTTGCAATGGAAACATCCTTGCCTTCTCATTATTCTTATTCTCTTGCCCATCACCTGCATTGGGTAAAAAATAAAAGTACAGGTAGTTCTCAACTAATGACCACAAGTGAGCCCAACGTTTCTGTTGCTAAGTGATACACTTGTTAAATGACTTTTGCCCCATTTTACGACCTTTCTTGACACCATCGTTAAGTGAATCACTGTAGTTGCTAAGTCAGTAACATGGTTGTTAAGTGAATCTGGCTTCCCCATTGACTTTGCTTGCTAGAAGGTCGCAAAAGGAGATCACATGTCCCGGGACACTGCAAGAGTCATAAATATGAACCAATTGCCAAGCATCTGAATTTTGATCACATGATCATGGGGAAAGCAATGGGCATAAGTGTGAAAAACTCACTTTTTTTAGTGCTCTTGTAACTTTGAAGTCATTAAATGAATGATTGTAAATCGAGGACTGCCTGTACAGAGCAAAAAACAGCCATCCAAACAATCTACAGGTAGTCCTTGA